TCTTGGCGGACACAACATCTTTGTTGGTATCTGGTGCTGAGAATCGAACCCAGGCCGCACGCATGCCAGGTGAGCGAGCACGTTACCGCTCGAGCCACATCCCCAGCCCTCATTTGTAGCCTTAAGAGATACTTTTTTCTTAAGTCTTCTGGCATCAGTCCTGAAGTCTAAATTCATTCCTGTGGTGTATATGCTTAAGGACAGATAATTCTGCCTAGAATGGGAAGAAGGATAACCCTGCTTCCCTCAAGATTAGGAAGGAAGAGGGAGAAGAGAAAGGGAAAACAAAAATAAAACAACAACAACAACAACAAAACTCCACAAAAATCCATGAAAGTTTTAAAATAAACTGTAGTGGAAGAGCACGTAGGGTCATGTTCAAAGAATGAAGTGGACCCCTGTTACAACTCCTTAAATTTCTTTTTTTTTTTTAATAGAGAGAGAGAGAGAGAGAGAGAGAGAGAGAATTTTAATATTTATTAGTTTGTTTCCAGTGGACACAACATCTTTGTTTGTATGTGGTGTTGAGGATAGAACCCAGGCTGCACACGTGCCAGGCGAGCGCACTACCGCTTGAGCCACATCAAGCCTACATCTCCTTAAATTTCTTGATTTTTAACTTGGGATTAAAGAGCAAAAATATATGGATGAGGAAAAGAATATTTTGAAACAAATATATTAAAAAGCATGCATATCCTGAAATTTATCTTGAAAAATAAATGAAAAGATAATTTATTTAATTTAATAAAGATAATTTACTTAAGCCAAGAATAGTGGCACAAGCCTGTAATCATAGTGGCTCAGGAGGCTGAGGTAGGAGGATCTCAAGTTCAAAGCCAGCAAGGCACTAAGCAACTCAGCAAGATCCTTTCTCTAAATAAAACATTAAAAAGGGGGGCGGCTGGGAATGTGGTTCAAGTGGTAGTGCGCTCGCCTAGCATGCGTGAGGCACTGGGTTAGATTCTCAGCACCACATAAATGTAAAATAAAGATATTGTGTCTACCTAAAAAAAAAAAATGAAAAAAATAAATATTTTTTAAAAATATTAAAAAGGGCTGGGATGTGGCTCAGTGGTTAAATGTTCCTGGGTTCAATCCCTGCTATGTAATAAAAAAAAAAAAACAAAAGAAAGAAAGAAAGAAAGAAGAAGGAAGAAGCATGGTAGGCCATTAAGCTACATCTTCAGCCCTTTATTTTATTTATTAATTTATTTTGTTTATTTATTTATTTAATTTTGATATATGGTCTCATAAAGTTGTACAAGCTAGCCTCCAACAGACTTGAGGACCTCTTGCCTCAGCCTTCTAGCTGAGACTTACAGGAATGTTTCATCCTACAGGATAAACATTATACTTTTAACTCAAGAAAAAAAAATATAAAGACGTTTACTAGATTTACTAATTAACATTTATCAGAAAGGTTATACTGGGATCCATGCTTTATTCAAACGTTTTTAAAAAACCGGGGTGTATGCTAAATAAGCACAGGATATACTCTCAGCCCTACTGAAGACCTTTTAATGTTATCACTGCCAAATCAGACTTCTGAAAGTTATAAGTAGTTAATGCCTCTTCCTTAAATACAAATATACCATGTAAACAGTTACTATTAATGTAATTAAAAGTTTAAAAGGAAAAATGGCATACACCTGTAATCCCAGTGACTGGGAGGCTGAAGCAGGAGAACTCCAAGTTCAAAGCCATTCATAGAGACCTTGTCTCAAAATAAAAAATAAAAAGGGCTGGGGATGTAGTTAAGTGCCCTTGGGTTCAATCCCCAGTACCAAACAAACGTGCAGGCACACATACACACCAAAAATAAGTCTTTAAATTGTGAATAAACTTGTTTGGGGAGTGGGTGCTGGGGAATGAACATCCCAGGGATGTATTACACTGAGCTACATCCCTAGCCCTTTGTTATTTTTTTTTTTCTTTAGAGTAGGGATAAGTTGCAGAAGCTGGCCTTGAACATGTGATCCTCCATCTCAGTCTCCCAAGTAGTTGAGATTCCACAAATGTGCCACCATGCCCCACTGTGAATAAAATTTTTTGAAAACAGTAGCTGTTGGTATGTGAATTTATTCTGATATCATTATTACCTAACATTATCAACTTAATATTGTTAAAAATTGGCATTTTAACAGTAATGTACTGAGAACATCAAGCATCTAAAATGCTTTAAATTACAGTCTTTGGGGAAGAAAGGTAGACGAAAGGAAAGAAGATATATAATATTATATATTAAGAGTTGAGATTAAGAATCTAACCTTGGCCACAAAAAAAAAATAAAACAAAACAAAAACAGTTAAAAATGGAATAAAGATGAAAAAGTTTCAAAATACTAATATCTTGCAATTAATGGCAATAAATTGTTGTCAAAAGAAGAAAAAAGTATCAAATTCAGTAAGTACATTTCTTAAGGTTTATCAGCAGAGACCAAAAGATTTTTATACTTTTCCCCATGTATTCCAGAAATTTATCCAAACAAGTTAATAACTAAACAGATATTCAGCATAAGAATTTCTTATACAACTTAAGTAACATAACTGTGCATCACAATACAATTCAAGCTGTTCCACTCTTTATTACCTAAAACAAAAGGGTGTCAAAAGGGTTATATGCAGATCCTTCAGTAGGAAGGTCCCCATACTCTGCAGAAGATCCTAGAAAAGACTGCATTTAACAGACTGTTTTAATACAAATGAAGAAAGTTATAAGATTAAAACTTGGGGCTTAGGGATGTGGCTCAGTGGTAGAGCACTTGTGAGAGGACCTAGGTATGAACTCCAGCACTAAAACAAAGTTTTAAAATCTTTTGGTGCCTTCCTAAGGTGCTAGAGTTCATGAACATCAGACTGATCATTATCCTTTGTTTTGTTTAGAAAATAAAATTTGTTCAGTATACTTGCCAGATGGTAGAAAGATAAGACATTTTGACTGGGAGACTTTTCTTTCTTTTTTTTTTAATATTTATTTTTTAGTTTTCAGCAGACCCAACATCTTTTTTTGTATGTGGTTCTGAGGATCGAACCCGGGCCGCACACATGCCAGGCGAGCACGCTACCGCTTGAGCCACATCCCCAGCCCGAGACTTTTCTTTTTTAATTTTTTTCTTCAGTTGTAATTGGACACAGTATCTTTATTTTTATTTATTTATCTTTATGGGGTGCTGAGAATTGAGCCCAGTGCTTCACTTTTTCGAGACAGGCACTCTACCATTGAGCTACAACCCCAGCCCTGGTATACTTCTTACTTTCCCAGTAAAGTATTAAATTGCTTTCTTCCAAAATAGTTATAAATTTTTTAAATTTATACTTTAAGAATACATATTCAAAGATATATGTTAACCCATTTTCATGATCTCAAATGATAATTAAAGATCAAATTTACTTCTTAACTTTATATCTGTACTCCATACATTAACCAAGAACTATTATTTTTTGCATAAACTTGGAAAAAAATAACTATTCCAAGGACTTACTTTCCAGTCTTATTTAAACATTAAGCATGCTTAGAAATAAAACCATGTATATAACATGCACTCAATGAAATGAAAATGGGTAATGATACTGTCAAGATCTGTCTGTACCGTTTCTACTTGACATCCTTCCTTCATCAAAATAGTTTTGTCATTTAAGTCAGCCTCATTCAAAAGACAAAACTGTCTGCACCCAAAATTTTTAAAGGCCATTTTGGTGACATAAGAATGAAATGAAAAGGACAACTTTCAGGATAATCCACTTGTAAAGTACAAGACAAGATAGTGAGGACTGGCAAGGAGGAACGAAGGCAAAAATTTCTTGGAAGTTAGATACCATTACTGACATGCATGAATGACTGCCGAGAAGTCAGAAAAAGAAAAGAACTTACTGATGGTTCCCAGCAAGGTCCTGTCCTATTATAGCCATGGTAGTAGAAAAGAAAGAAAAAGTGAAGAAAAATTTAGAGTAGCATTATATTTTTACTGGTTTTAAGAATTTCACCTTAACATTTGAAAAAACTCATTATTCAAAATCCAATTCTATTTTAGGAATCTTACTATGGTAACTTTAGTTAATTTAAAATATTCTGATAATGTATGAAGAAAATAAATTAATTTAATAGAATGTTTAGAACAAAATAAAATCATCCCTCAGTATCCATGAGGGATTGGTTTCCTGGACACTTTCCCCTCCACCCATACTAAAATCTACAATGCTTGAGTCCCTTGTATAAAATGGTATATAGTATTTGCATATAACCTAGAACATCCCCTCCCCGTATACTTTAAATCATCTCTGGATTACTTATGTAATTTAATACAATGTAAACGCTATATAAATATTTTCTACATAATGCAGTATAAACTAAGAAAAAAAGGTACATGTTCTGTACAGATGAAATTTTTAAAAATATCTTTGATCATCCTATGGTTGATGCAGAACCCATTATAGTTAGCAATAGCTCACTGTACAAATGGTAATCTGGCGGCAGATTACCCAGAATTTTTGTGTGGTGATCTGACCAGCATGGGAAGGAATTGCGTGCTAACCTGCAGAATTGGTTGGTCTGGACCCAGTCCCCAGGCTGGGCCTGCTGAACTGCACCTCCACGGATGGACACCATCCCAGAGCCTGGGGACACTGAACTGAGGAAGCGGGGTTCCCAGGGAGGGCCCAATCCTAGCCTGACATCTGGAGTGGCCTCTGCAGCCTGGCCTGGTGCCACCTCTTGTGGCTGCTCCTGAGGCTGTACCTGCAGGACTTGGCATTCTTAGGCCCATGAAGCCAGAACCCACACTCTGCCCCTGCCCCTACCCCCTCCCCTTCCCTCTACTAGTTCCAGTGGTAAGTGTAACAATTAAAATGACATCACTTGTAAAAAAAAAATAAAATGTACAAGAGATGAAATTCTTAGTATAAAAATATTAGAAGAGATAACTTTGTCATTATATGACTTTTTCTAAAATAAATACACTGGTACTAGAGACTAGGATTTTCTGCAAAAATGGTCTAATAGTAAACAGGTTATATACAGATCCTTCAGTAGAAAGGTCCCCACACTCTGTAGATGCTCCTAGTAGAGATGGTATTTGATGAGTTGTTCTGTTACAAGTAAGAGAAATCATAAGATTAAAACCTGGGGGTTAAGAGTATGGCTTAGTGGTAGAGCACTTGCCTAGCATGTGAGAGTACCACAAAAAAACAAAGTAAAATAAAAACCTGAATAATGACTTCCCAAGGTGCTGGTTCATGAAGATCAGACTAGTCATAACCCTTTTTGTTTAAAAAATAAAATTTGTTCCAGTACACTTACCATAATTTTAACTTCCAGATTTAGTTGTGGTATAGGGACTTTACTGGAAATCTGGAATTTCATTCATTATTTGTTTGGTTACAGAACATTCTCCTCCACCACCAATTCAAACGATGACTTCTCAAAATACAATAGGTTGGGGCAGGACTACTAAAGAAAAAGTAGTCCGGAAGTTAAATTACCCAGAGGTCTTCCAGAGTTGGGATTCAACCTACTTATACCACATTGACAAATCTCCATTCAGGTTATTCTAAAGTACATCTCTGTTAGTACCCACAGTCACTTTTTGTGTGTGCTTTAAATTGTTTTCTTTAGTACAGTATTTAAAACCCTAATAAACTATATTTACGTTCCATGTTTTTTTTTAACTCATACATTTTAAAAATCATAAAACATGCCAAAAAGGCTTTAGTGACTGATTTTCACAACTACCAAAAGGGACTATGTTACTGCTTTAAAGAAAACTTTAGGGGCTGGGAGTGTAGCATGACCAACATTGATAAAGCCCTGGGTTCAATCCTCAGCACTTTGAAAACAAACAAAACACAACCTTTCTTTAGCAAGGTATGTGCTTCAGGTCCTTAATCTTATCTGTTTAAGAAACTCCCGAATAGTTTTTTTTTTTTTTTAAATTCATGTATGAAATTTAGATTTAGTAAGCCTTCAATGTGTTTTAAGACCTTCCTAAAAATTTCTGCAAGGAGGTAGAAAGGGCACGTAGAACCACATTAGAATTTGAGGCCTAAGCATAGATATTTATTTTTTAAAGCTTTTGATAATTAATGCATCCAGTTCACTATAAATCAAAACCTCTGCACCCCATTCATGCCCTCCTCCAGAGTTTACTGCTTTTGCAGGTCCCTCCACATCTGAAGTTTCTTTTGGTGTCATTAATCTAGAATAAAGAGTCAAAGAAGGGCCTGTTCTAATTTTGTCTTTATCTGAGTTTCTACCTCCAAGGGACCACTATACCACAATATGTATAAAAGGCTTATTGCAGAAGTAAATAGTTGCAAGCCAAAGTTGAAATGCACATATGTGAAAAGTATACAAGGAATAAAGGAAATTATTTTTTCTAAACTAAAGCAAATGCAAAGAGTCTGGAGATCAGGTTTTGGAGCGTAATATAGTCAACTAATTCCTAGTACTCACTAAATGAAGTACAGAAGTGAATTAAACCTATAAGATTGTAGGTCTTCCAATAACAGCAGAGAACATTTATTGAATGCCAGTTATATGCTTTTCACATTTATTATCTCATTTTATTTCCAGTACAACAGTCACTTTACTTATTAATTGGATGAACATATAACTAAATCTGTTGGTCTGTGTTCTGATTTGTCACCTATAAATTTGCAGAATCCAATCTGTAAAATCAGGTAACTGTAAAGTGGCAATAATAATAATGCCAACAAAATCACCACCAGCAGCAATTTTATTGAGCACTCTCTATCTACAAGTTATTAAACGCATGGCTTTCCTGTATTATATCCTCTAATACAACAACACAAAGTTAACATGCCTGTCTTGCCTAATATTTATATAGGAGTCTTACCTGGATCAACTGGTACAGTGAATGTTATGGTCTAGAAGAACTATACTGAAGTTTAAGATTTCAGAGGTTAAACTCTTTTGAGAATAATGGAGTTGAGCTGTTACTGATAATGTGGGTAAACTATGAAAGGAATGGAAATAAAAGTCAGCAGGAGTGGGAAAAAAATAAGTTTAGATGGATCCTCCAAAAGACAATAAAATCACCCAGGATTATACGCAGACTGGTTTTGAAAATCGAATTCCTGTCTCTGAACTGACCACGTGAATGTCCTAGTCTCAGTTTAATTCAACTTTGTCTCCTGAGTATGGCTTTATTATAATGCAGTGTACTCTTGTGGATCCCATCACTATGTTCCTCAGTTCCAGACTTTCTATATTACTATTTACCCATGTTAGACTCCTAGATAACCCAGATATATTCCTATCAATTAGCACCTAATGAGTCAGAGAAATAGCAAAAATGCATTGCCAATTTTATTACTCTAAATTGATCTGTATTTTAAAAAACTATGTTTTTTTGAATTTTGATAGTCATAAGATAAAACAGATACAAAGGAACAATAGCAGACTTAACACATTGAAGTAGCAGGTTAAAAAAAACTTTAAATATTGATATTAAACAAATAACTTATATCTTCCACTACATTTTAAAATAGGACACTAATGATGCTTCTCTTACCTTACTCAGTCTTCTCATGTTAATTTACTCTCTTTTCAAATGGAATTCCTGAATTAAATCTAGCTTTTTTTTTTTCTAACCATAGCCTTCTTAAGTGACTGATAATAATACTGGGAAAAAGAATCCTCCCAATACAAGTACCTGGTTATAGCTCTTTGGTTAACTGTCAAGGCAGATTTGAATTGCAACAGAAAATATTTGATGTCTCAAGTCCTTTAATATGTCTCCAGCTACATGAACACAAATGCTAAAGCAAGTTCTGCAACTAGGTGGTTATGTAACAGTGGTCCACTTAATGCTTTGAATGTAGTCCTTGCTGCTCTGCCACTGCAACTTATTTTTATTTTTATTTTTTATTTATTTTTTTTTATTGTTGGTCGTTCAAAACATTACATAGTTCTTAATACATCATATTTCACAGTTTGATTCAAGCGGGTTATGAACTCCCAACTTTACCCCGTATACAGATTGCTGTATCACATCAGTTACCCTTCCATTGATTGACATATTGCCTTTCTAGTGTCTGATGTATGTGGCATTTATACACAATGGAGTATTACTCTGCATTAAAAAATGACAAAATCATAGAATTTGGAGGGAAATGGATGGCATTAGAGCAGATTAT